GAATGATATAGGATAAATTTTTTTACATAGTTGTGTAATGCGTTATTAAATTTGAGTACCTTACCATCTAAATTAAACAAAATATTAATGATTAAGTAGCATTATTTATATACAAAAATAATAAAATTTACAATAAATTTTCTTACATGGTTCTTAAATTTAAGTATTAGTAGTATCTTCTCGTCTAAATTAAACAAAAACATTAATAATTAAGTATGTGGCATTAATTATATACAAAATAATAAAGTTTACAATAAATTTTCTTACATAATGCAATGCATTCTTAAATTTGGGTATTAATAATATCTTCTTGCCTAAATTAAACAAAATATTAATGATTAAGTAAATAGCATTAATTGTATGCAAGAATAATAAAATTAACAAACCTTTACGAATGATATAACATTATTGTGCAATGCATTCTTAAAATTTGAGCATTCATAACTTCTCATCTAAATTAAACAAAAATAATAATAATTAAGTAGTATTAATATTAATTGTATGTAAGAATAATAAAATTTATAAACTATTCTAAATCATTGATCATTAACTTCCAAATGGCAGGTACAAATACTTAAACAGATTTGGAATGAAAAAAATAATATTATAATTAATTAATATGTGAATTGCGAATTCACATAATTTCATTTTCATGTACAACATTAATAAACAATGAAATTTTTTAATTTGTATCACATACAATACAATTTAATTTTTTTCATTTTATACAATAATTTTTATTAAAACATCATCTAATTAAATTTATTTCTTTATAATACCAGTTATAAATTAACATAAAAAATATTGCAAACCATTACTTTATTGTAAGCCAGGGCAATCATGAACTCATCTAATAAACCAGCAAAGTCATCATGAGAAGCTCACAAACATAGAAATAAAAGGCTTAAGTGGGAACATGAACATAGCAAACTTGAAGTAGATGTGCCACCAATAATAAACCCACCTACCAAATGTAATATAGTCTTTGATCCATCAAAGGTAAAATTCAATAAGTTAAAAATAATAACAATTTTATCTGCCATATATTAACTTTGGCTTGAATTTTGTTTAGCATCAAACCCAATATGCAAGTTGGATGTTGAGCACATATGATAAGGTTCGTTATCTTGAGAATGAGTGGAAAAGTATCACCCTTTGTCCCTCAGACCAAATATCATCCAAAGAAAACAAGACCTCTCCACATGATTTATTGATTGAGACACTTATTCAAGAAGCTCAATCCACTAACATGAATCCTCTAGTATCATTTGAGATACCTCCAGATTTTTTAACATTGGTTGATAGTGAGGTCATAATCCCTAAAAATGATGATGAAATTAACCAACTACCATCTGCTGATACAAATAAACATTTATGGATTGCTTTTGGTCAGTGGTTGGGTTTGGATAAAGATGGACAAATAAATAGAAAGAAAACATGACGATATCTTAAATCCAAATGGTCAACACTTAAGCATGCTTTGGACTTGCAGAATAATGAAGATATGATGGCTCAACCAGAGAAAATTTTAATTGAATCTGCATGACTGCTAGTACTAGATAAGTTGGTGAAATTTCATTATATTATCAAACCAGAATGTATTACAGATCTGGATGGCAGAAATTTAATACACTTAGAGAAACTTGATAATCAAGATGCTGTTATGCAAGCAACAAATGCTGTTAATCAATATTATTTCCATACATTAAACCATCCCTCTCATTGAAGCAAAGATTTTTGGGAGAATTTCATTGAACATTTTGGAGTATACACAAGATACAACATTCTCCCATACACTAGTGGCCATACTGCCAGTACTCATAATGCCAATCACCAAGAATGTGTTGATAATTTGCTCCATGCTCTTGAGCCACTATCTGCTAG